CATTAATAAATTGTTAATAAAGAAATTCTGTGATACGCAAATTTTTAAAAAATGGGTCTAAGGGAAATGTTTGGTTAGCAGGGGTGCCTACCCTCTCCCCAAGTTCGAAGGTGCAGGAATTCCTCCCCCCTCTCCTCTTATGAAATTTTTTTTCTTTCCTCTTCTAAAAAACAGTGCATGTGTCTGTTTTCCCTTTAGTTACCGTGTTTGAAACTTTTCACCCCCAAAATTCATAACTCTGTCGAAATGAGTTTCCCTCAAAAATTCAAAATTCCGTTAAAATGTGCCCCCCTCAAACATTTTAATGATGCAACTAGCGCCATAAAACCTCCTTTTGGGCACCTCTGATGGTTGGGATAAGAGCTGACGTCATAACATTTGGCAACATTCGACTGTTTTCGGCAATTTATGAACAAGTGTGACCGAAGTGATTGTGGACTACGCGTAATCTGTGTGGAACTCATGTGAACTAGTAACAAATAATAAAATTTTATATATTTTTTTTCTTGTCTCCTATGGCCCATTAGATAGAGCACTTGGACATAAGCATGGGTGCCCATAAGGGGGTTTCATGGCACAAGTTACGCCATCAAAATTTATGGTGGGGCTACATTTTTACGGTGTTTTAAATTTTTGAGGGAGGCACATTTCGACGAAGCTATGAATTTTCAAAATCAAAGGATAAGTAGAAACATGGAACAGACCGCAGGATGTGTAATTGTATAATCTACGATTATTTGCATTCTACTTTCGTTTGCACTATTTTGAGAGGCATACGGCAATAAAATATCTTGGAAGGAGTGGGGCAAGGTTTATGCGCCATCGGCCTTGGGGAAATGGGCACCCCTGAATATAAGTCTAATATTTTTCGACCTAGTATCACCAAAAAAAGTTTCATTGAAATCGGTGACCCGATGTCCTTAAAGTTCCCTTGTGAGTTGACTAAAAACAGTACATAATCTAAAAAGTTCGTCGAACAAATATTCAATACCTCAAAATAAAGATGTTTTAGTTTTGCCATTTTTCTTCCTAACTAGGGATATCTTGATATTTTATAAGTTTTCGATTGTCTAATTATGAATATATTTTCCGTTCCTTAATCAATCGTAACCCACAACTTTCTAATTCACAAAAACTCTCAGAAATTGAGCTTCTTTTCAATTAAATAATAAATTTAATTAGGTACTATAAAATCTACCCGTTTATTTTCCACTTGAATCGTAAGATAATGTGACCATAAAATTGAGAAAAAAAGTTTCTACAAAAATATTGCCTATTCATCCTCTTTATTGTGACATATTCGGAGGTCACGCAAAACTGTTATTTTTGTAGGCCACCATTTTTCTCGATCATGTGATCGATTTATTGTTATAATTATAGTATTACGATCCAAGTGAAATACAAATGGGTGTTCATAAGTTTTTAGTTCCTCATTAAGCAGACAAAGTTTACCAATCTCAAGATTGGAAATGCCTCATTTCAGTGAATCTTCATAAATAAAAATGTAGATTAAGATAAGATGAAACCATTCTCGAAGTTTTAGATCGATGTTAATAATTTAATAAAAAATGGTTTGCACTTCAGACATTATATCGATAAAGATGTGTTTCGACAAAAATCTACTTAGTTACTTTTTACAACAAAAGGTAGTTACAACAAAAGGTTTATTTTTCTTGACCAATTTTTGTTAAGTATCATGTTCTTTTGTCCAAGATTTCATAGTAACGAATCCATTTATATATTTTATATAAATTATCAATTGGCTCTTCCTCATATGTTTTTACTATTTTAAAAAATATCAATATTTAACAGTTTTTACTTTTCTATAATCTAAATTTTTAGTTAATCTTCCGGTATATTTAGGAACGTATTCCTGATTGTTAACCAAGCGCGCGTTCTATTTTAAAATTTTAAGATTGGTTATTTCGGTTTAAGGAAAATTCAGTAAAGAAAAATACAAGGAAAAAGACGGAAAATCGATAAAGTATGAAAAAATGATAAATTACTTTTTTCACAGTTATCAACGATTTCCGCGTTGGTGTAGTTAATCAGTTCGCCACTAGAGGTCGTTTCAAGTACTGCATGTGACGCAATGTGAGTTTAACAACTAATGTTTAAAGTTTATTCAGATGACTTAACCAAAGAAACATTTATTTACACAAAAATGAAAAAAAATAAAGAAGAAAATGCCAGAGTAAATTTCAACAAAAATTTGGAGTAACAAGTAATATGGTTTTATTATACTTTATTCTGTAAAATCAATTCATTTGAACATACAATGGAGTACCAAAATTGTTTACAATAATCTTGTTTAAACTCTTAAAATATTTGATTGCATTGAATTTAGAAAATTAATTATTTAAGAACACTTTGCTAGTTTTGTTTCAGTCATATCTTCTATAATAAATTCACTGTTAAAATAAGAGAACAAAAAATGTTGTCTGTTAAATGCCTAAAGCAGAGATGGGCAAATGTTAATTTGAGTACTGTGGTGGAAATTCAATCACTACTTCGGTTGATGGTTTGAAATCAACTGAAGTAATAATTAAATTATTTGGTACTTAAATAAGGTCAGTATTTGAGTATAATACTTGGTACTCACTACTAAGAGTAGAATTTTCCCATCTCTGCCCTCAGGTACTTAGTAATTTTCCTCTGGGATTAAATATGACAAAAACAATAGATTTGTGGACGGTTGCTGTTGCGATTTAACAGGGTGTGAGTTAAGATGGATGTTTCGGTGCAAACTTCTTTATGTGAATTATTCCCCATGAGGATAATACTCTTATTTCAACAGTGAATGAAGCCATCGCTTAGTAGAGAAAATACAAATAGTTCACTTTGCAACCAAGCCGTAAAAGAGGATCTTTTCCATTTCTTAGCCTGTTATTCACTTCTCAATGAAATTTCTTATTTTGATTTTTCTTGTTCAAAGATTCAAGCCATTTTCAAAATTATTTTTTGATTTCTCTGCCTTAATGCCCCTTCTGTATATGATTGTCATAATCTTTTCATCGTTATAGTTTGATCCATCAAACATAAACCAGGTTTATCAAATTTATTTTTACTCTCATTGTAGGCATTTTTATTTATCTCTCTCCAATTTGTCTCATCTCTTTTATTCTGTTTTTAAAATAGAAATCAATTATTAGGCTGCATTTTTCATATTTATATTTCTTATTACTATTGTATTTTTAAAACTTATTTTTGATAGATTTATTTATTAATTAATTATATTATATTATATTAAGTAATTGTTATATATTTATATCGCGTTTTTATTATATTGTAATTATTGTAAATCATCTAATGTACCAGTACTATATTGTATAAAATTTCTGGTATACAGATTTCCATGCCTTATAATGTTTTATATTTTTTTCATAGTTGAAGTTTGTATTATATATTCAATAAAGCATGATTAATAATTTAATCTAGGAATTATATTTTTTATTGTGTAAAAAATCCCATGCCCATAGCCAGGATTTTAGTTCAAAGTGACAAATAAGAATTCTTGAAATTTTCCATTAATATTGTTAAAATTGAACTTTAAAAAAAAGTTTTAACCACCTAAATTATACATTCAAAAATCATTCAATTCATTTTTCAAAAATTAAATTTTCCTCTCTCAAATATGGATATCAAATCAACATTACCTTTGACTCATAATAATTTTCCGAAAGTGGATATATTGACTTTTGACTGGATACTTCTCAATCATTGTTTATTTGGGATATTTTATTGCACATTATTAGAGTTTGAACAAGATAATTTCTTAGCATATTTGCATATGTTAGTTGGTTAGACAAAGCTGTGAATATAAAGATACTATGTAATTTAAAAAAAACTGATGTACAGTAGATCAGTAGCGTATCCAGGATTAATTTATGGGAGGCTACAGCGAAAGATTTTTTTATGTATATACACTGAAAAATAAAATTAAGAAACTAACTACCAATATGGAATGAATGATGTTTAAGTTAATTCTTGAAGTTCTATTAAAAATTTAACTACCCGAACAATCACAGGCGGATTTATGGGGGGAGGGTGGCTTTCGGGCTGAAGCCCCCCCCCCAAAATGGTAAAATGTAACCATGTTTTATGGTAAAAAATATTAAAAAATGATGTCTTAAAGTATTATTTCTCGTTTAATTACATTTAATAGGACTTCAAAAATCACTTGAACACCATTTCATATAGATAGTATCTTTCTGTTTTTCCAATGTAATTATTGTTATATATATGAAAAAAAAGCTTCCGGGCTGAAGCCTCCCCCCCCCCTCCGAAATTAAATCCTAGATCCGCTAGTGCGAACAATAATACTTTTAATGATAATTTTAAAATATTTTTTTATAAGACATGGTCACATGTATTAGTGGCTGTATATGTATTATATTGCCAAAGAGACAAATTTAAGAATATATTTTTTTGATGTAATATAAATGAAAATCTCATTTTGGAAATGGCTATTTTCCTTTTGAATAATAATCAAGTGGTATTCTCAAAATTATGCCAAGAAAAAATTATTAGAATTATTAATTAAACAATTAATTAATGGGAAAAACCTGGTGGTTGTGTATGATCTCGGTTATTTCACCTCCTTACACAACCGTTGACTAGGAAACAGTACTTTCCCTAAATAGTACTGAACCCAAGACCCTTCACGGGCTGTAGTGATATTTTTTAAATATATATTATAATTAAAAAAATAGAACACATTGTTATTATTCAAGTAATTAGGTTAGACCACTCAAAATAACAAATATAGACTTTTAATTAAAAAAAAAAAAAATAATAATAATTTTCCTATTTTTTGGGGAGGACTTCACCCCAAAAGCCCTACCTCTCTCCCCACAGATCTGCCAGTGCAGTAAATATAAAATTTTGGATTCATCAAAATGATTGTTTTCTGGGAAATGCACTATGCAATATTTTAATTTTAGCCTTTTGTTTGATGAATCACTAACATGACTCGTATAGTTTAAACGTCAACAGTCATCTGTTTAAAGCTTTATTAGCTGATCGCATTGTCACTAGGTTCCAGCTTTATTAGTGCTTTTATGTGCTCAGAGCAAATTTAAGGTAAGAAATTAGAGTATTGTCATTTATACCTTATTTTTAATGTTCCTTTAAAGTTATTAATTGACAGAACCATTAATCATATATATTATGTTCTTATTCAAGTTTTGTGGAAAGTTATTATTTTTTTATTAGCAAAAAATGATATATGAATATTTTCACATATAATTATTAATATTAGATTTTCAAAATAAAGGATAAAATTTTTCAATATAAATTTATTATTTTGAAAAAAACTATCATATCTATAACAATATTATTTATGAATTAAAAAACAGAATAAGAAAAAAAAATTCACAATTAACTATTTTTTTTTAACAATCACCATTAGTGAATAAAACATAATTATGTTGGTTGAACACATTATTTATGGACAGGTTGAACTTTTAATATAAATATTCCTATATAATATAAATATAAATGTTCCTAGTAACTAGCAGATCCAGGATTTAATTTTGGGGGAGGGGAGGCTTCAGCCCGAAAGCTTTTTTTAAAATTAAAATAACGATAATTACTTTGGAAAAAAAAGAAATAAACTAACTGCCTACATGAAATGGTGTTTAAGTGATTCCTAAAGTCCTTTTAAATGTGATTACATGAACAATAATACTTTAAGAGATAATTTTTTTATATTTTTTTCCATAAAACATGGTTACATTTTACCATTTTGGGGGAGTGGCTTCAGCCCGAAAGCCTCCCCGTAGATCCGCCCACGTTCCTAGTTGATTTAAAGGTTCCAGTTTTTTCTAGATTGAAGAACAATGTCCTCTATTGACAACTGTATGAACAAAGTTTCCAAAAGTAAATTTTAAAATGTCTGTCATTGTTGTTTCTTGGGATCAGCATGTTTCATACCTTTCTATTAACAATTTTGCTAAGATTAAGTTGAACATTTATGTTATCTTATCTTTATTGTTAACTTAATAGATAAATAAAGATGTTAGAATTTTTCTGAGTTATGTCTATCAGTGGTTCTGTCAATTACTAGAACAATTTCATTTCGGGGTGTCCGTCATTAGTGCAAAGAGGTGTTTTTTTTTTAATGAGTTTATATCTACATAACTGAATATTTTTTCAATTTTGAAGTTTTAAATAGAAAAAGGAGACTCTAGAGATTCTAAATGTCTAACGGAGAAGTTTATAGCTATAATAATTATGGCGTCATAAGACAAAAAAGATAAAATTTTCTTAGCTAGAAAAAGTATGTTCTGGACAACACATATGATATATTTAATTTGTTTTATTATGTATTCATTGCATTAGGATCGTCTAAAATAATTTAAAATTCATTCAGATCTCAAAAAAACGTTATCATCTTATTTATATTTAGTTCCATTAAAAAAAAAAATTAGTAATCTTATAGATATGATTTTAAGACTTGAAAATAGGTGTAGTGTCCCGATACGTCAGATATAAAAAGGAGATAAAAGTGCAATAAAGTTTCGTGAAGTAAAAAGTGTTTTTTGAAATGTTCCTCGAAAAATAATAAATTTAAATTCATATATTAATATATTGTTAACATTTTGAGGTGTTGATGCCATCTCCAGAAATACTATTAATATACAAGGATATAATAAATTCCTCATGTCAAAATGAAATATATATTTTAAACTAATAGATTTTTTTTAATATAAACTTTTTTAAATAACAAACAAAAACAATAAAAAAGGGTTTGTACCACGAACACTATATTGATAAAGATGTGTATCGACAAAAATCTACTTGGTTACTTTATCAAAAGGTTTATTTTTCTTGACCAATTTTTGTCAAGTATCATTTTCTTATAGATTCCAAGATTACATAGTAACGAACCCATTTATATAAATTTATAAATTGGCCCTTTCTCATATATTTTTACTATTTTAAAAAATATCAATATTTAACAGTTTTTACTTTTCTATATTCTAAATTTTTAGTTAACTTTCAACAAACTGTTGAATAGAAGCGCAATGCTACTTATAACTTGTTATGTTGACATGATATAAATATATTATATTTTTATATATTAATAGTTTCAATTATTAAAATAGAAAATAATTTAGAATAATAATGGTAATAATAAAATAATAAATAAAGTCAAATTGTAATAAATAAATAAATAAGTTTAAATATTTTCTATTATCCTACGTTTCAAGAATTTTTTTATTGACAAACATTTTTATTTAGTTAAGAATACTTAAAATTTATAGTAGTTAGGTTTTATAGTTAGTTGTGGAGAGTACATTAGTTGTAATTCATACAAATGTTATCATAAGGAATATTTATAAACTAAATATTTATTATAAATAAAAATATTTCGGTGAATAAGCTGTAAGTAATTGCAGAAGTATGTGTAAACATTGTTTCCCCACTGCTCTTGCAACAAGTAGAGTCAGATTACTGTAGACAACAGAAGGTTTCAGTATTTGTTTTATCTCTTGAGGTATATTTTATATTATTTTGCTTTGTTATATTTTTACAGCTTATACAATATAATACATTTAAATATAATTAGTTTTATATTTAGGGTCATAAAGGTCGATAACATTTTATTTTTTCATATTTTTAGAAACAATATATAATAAAATGGTCTACTCATGTTTTTAGTCAGTTTTATATAATATATCATCATTAGTCCTGATAGAATAATAAATATACTAATTTAATCTCGTATCTTTATGCATTTTTCTCTTTATTTATTTTTTTTTTAATCAGAAGTAATTTGATATATCTTTTACTGATATCTTTTACCAATAATATACATTTATGTTTTAACACTTTATATATATATATATATATATATATATATATATATATATATATATATATATATATATATAAATTTTTGCATTTTTCTCTTTATTTATTTTTTTTTAATCAGAAGTAATTTGATATTGTACAATAAAAACTGAACTGTTTTGAACTATTGCTTAAATATCATGCAATCTATCAATTCTGCCATGGTAACTTACTAGGCAGTTAATACAATATGGTCAATTTTTCATTAAAAAAAAAACACTAAAAGTTTATCTGCTCTATTACTTTCCTATAATAACTTATAATATAAACTATGAAACAAAAAGTTATATATTTAAACTAATACATCAATTAAACATTCACTCAGTTTTTAAAAATTTATTTTGATAATTAAACTGTAATAGAAGTAATAAGAATTACATATTTTTTACTAAAAATCTAAAATCATTCATATTACCATATTGAGTGCCTTTTAACTTACCATGGCAGAATCGATAGATTGCATGATATTTGGGCAATAGATCAAAACAATGGAATATAATGGAAAATTAACTTTATTCTGGAATGAAGTTCCGTAAGATGAAAAAATAATAAAGAAAAAAATATGTCTTCTCACCTAAAGGTTTGATACATTAAATAAAAACATTATAATACAAAAACAGAAAACATAAGGTAAACTAGCTACATACAAAGAAAAAAAACTATTAATAAAACACTTGAAACAATGTACAAAATCCATCGAAAATGGTAGGACAGTATACATATTAACTTCTAAAAAAAATGAAAAAACTTCTAATAAATTAGCACTATGTTTTTATTAAGAAAAAAGAATGTTGATCCTGGCATTTAAAAAATGTCTAAGTAAAAGGGTGAATAAAAATAAAAAATAGATACATTGAGTGGCATCTCTGCCACGGTATGCTATGGAGGACAGTAATTTCCTGTTATATACATAGCTAAAAATAGCATTATCATTTTATAATGACATAAAATACATGTATAAAGTTAAAAGTATTACCTGTGTAATAATAACAGAGTACTGTATTGTACAAGGTTAGCAGGTATCTGACTGTTTTTTGGAACAGGAATTGGAACATAAGAGTTTTAGTTGTGGATAAGGATGAGACAAGCCAAATATTAATATGGGTGGAGGTCCAGAAAGTGACAGAGTGGGCTAACAAAGAAGCTTTGGAATGAGGCAGATCTGAGAAAAGGAATATAAAGGTCAGAAGGTCGTGATCTTGTGGTAAGAGTACTTGGATTAAAGAAGCTTGTAGACATAAAGGAGGATAATGATTGTTGATGAAGGATTATGCCTAAGAAATAAAATCCAGCATCACTCATTCTAGTAGTAGGATACACAAGAGCGTCTCGAGGTCCCAATTAAAAATCTTAAAACGCTATTCATTAGTCTTTTCAGTCCATGACGGAGCTCCACCCAGAAGTCATTTTATACCACAAAGCTATAGCCAAAGTTAGGGACAGGGCGGCTGAGTGGGACAATGCGTGTGCACAGCACCGCATGGTGATCTGGCCACCAGGATCTAAGATGGAATTCCACTACTACGAGTTCGTGTCCCGGTGCCCTGAGGGGCTTTCAACTCTGGAATTAATCCTTTCTCCTCATCTTTTGGCCTGGGAAAACTCTGTGTAGTCTAAAACGCTAGGAAAAATAAATTAAAGTAAAGCTATAGTCAAAATAGGGGAAGATGAGGGGAGAAACCAGGAGTCTGCTTATATGTTGTGGCAGATAGATAGAGGAAGCGATAGTGTAGTTTAAGTGCAGAAATTACCCGTCGGGACTAGTGAGAGACAGTTGTAATACAATTACAGTTACAATACAGTTTTTACTTTCCAATATGAGCTTTGATTCAAATTATTTCTGATCCAAAGATATGATAAAAATGCCTAAATTTGTATTTTATTTTGTGTTTCATTAATATTTTTTTTATTGTGCCATATCTATACTATGACATAACATAAAAAAATACATTTATAACACTAGTATGAATGAAAATACCATAATGATTCTATTTAAGTTTTATGATTATGTATAAGTATTTTATTAAAATTTTAATTGACAAAACATTGCTTCAAAAACTGGAGTTATCTTATATTTATTGAATTATGTTTTAAATAAATTATAATAATAAAATCATCTTTATTAATTACAATCTTCTCTTTAGAGGGTTTTATTTTTAAATAAATCTATTGGTATTTTTGGAATGAAATTATTCTTTTATAATATCAAAACATTTATATGCATTAAGTTTTTACTGTTTTGATTCCATTTTGAAAAATTATAAAATTTTGTTCCAGATTCAGTTTAAATTTAAAATTTGACTATTTCTATTATTATTATAAATTGGATGTGATAAAAACTTGTTTCACTGAGGGGGAGGGAGGAGGGGTATCCATAATAAAACATGAATTACAAAAAAAAATATCCACATTTATTTATTTATTTTTTCTGGATATCTGACCATGCAATCCTTCAGTTTATTTTTCTCATTTATATTATTCTTGTATCTTGTTTTTCTTAACCTTGAAGACGGCATACAAATTAGACCTGGTCACACATTTTTACTAATAATTTTAATTACACTAGAGTAAATCAATATATGATAATGTTTCTGTTGGTTATGTTATTTTTCATAATAAAATAAATTTTATAAAATTATAAATAAATATATAAAATTATCTTCTTTATGTATTCTTAATTGATAGAAAATATTATATTCATTCATTGCTTCTGCAACTAGCATTCGGTATGTTACATTTACTATAACTATTTCTGTTTTATTCTACTTAAGGCCCACTAGCTATAATCATTGCAAAATGCTATAGAAATCGTTATTAAAGCCCTTCATATTATTTTTTCTATAATTCTTCATTTGCTTCTTAACATTTCGAATTTTTGTTAATCATATTCAAAAGCTGATAACTAAGAAATTATATAATAAATACTTTTGATTTTAATTCTTGAATTGAGGCTTGATATTACAGGAATAAGATCAGATTCAATAAATAAAATGTCTTTTTGTATAAAATTTTATAATTCTTTTTTTTACCGGTTTCTATCCTTCATCAGTCTTATTTATGACAATTCCTCAGTTGAGAAACAGGAGAACCCGATGAAGAACCGAAACGAATAGCAAAAAAGAATTATACAATTTCATACAGGAACAATTCTTTTTATCCTGATTATTTTCATAATAATAAATATAATCTTATAATATAATTTAATAAATACATTAAATATTGTGATCTTTATAGAATTTTCTTTTCTTGTTATTTTCTTATGTTGAATCCGTTATCGCCAAGTTTATGCATTATTCATTAAACTATTAGGATCTAACTGTTACAAATGTATCTCATTATAGTGAATAAATTATATTTTTAATTAATTATAATAATAATAATAATAATAATAATAAAATTATCTTTTATTAATTATTATGCTCTTCTCTCAAGCAGGTTTTATTTAAAAATAATTCTATTGTTATTTTTGGATTGAAACTATTCATACTATTGTTGATTGATCTTTGACTGTAATGAATAATTGAAGAGACGATTGGTTGGGGTGATCAGTAAAAAAAAAATATACATATATACTTTATTTTAATAATTTATAATTTATTATTAATTTTTTTTTGGCTAATAATCCCAACCAATATTCTCTTCGATTAGTCATACTATTAATTAAAATCACTCAAACATTCATATGCTATAATTTTTTATTGTTTATCATGGCTTAAAATTTGCTCATTTATATTATTATCATAAATCGGATGTGATAAATATTTATTTCACTATGGCATATCCATATTGCAATATAATATATAAAAAATTTCACTTTTATTATTTTTTTCTTAATTTTTTCAAAACTCATCATGTTATCCTACTTAATGCATAATTCATTATATTATTGCGTTTAACCTGTCGTTTGCAATCCTAATATATTATAGAGATCAGCCAATAAATTATGTTTTAAATTAATTATTAAAACAAAATTACTTATATTAATTATTATGACATTCTCTTTAGGGTGTTTTATTTTTAAAAAGTTTTATTGTTATTATCTAATTGAAACTCTTCATAATATCAATTAATTCATGTATTAAAGATATCCCTATTAATAAATTTAAACATTCTTAAGATGCGTTAATACATTTCATAAACTATGAGCCAAACAAAAATATATATGGTTATTTCACTAATCTAGTATTTTTGTTTAATCTTTTTGATACTTTCCATCTGCTTTCGGTATCAAAAGAAATAAAATAAATAGTTTATGTTAGCAACAAGTCGCTATTATTTAAGTTAGATAATTGTGTATTCCATAACTATGGAAAACAAACTTGTGATATGTCTAAATGTACCTTTATGTCTTCATATTTTTCTGTAATGGCTAAAAATCCATTTTTGAATTATTAGAAAATTTTGTTTTAGACAGTTTAAATTGAATTTATTTTGAAGTTAATATTTGAATATTTCTATCATTATTATCATTATTTTTATGTGATAAATATTTATTTCACTTTGGCGTATCCATCCTACAACAGATATAACATTTAGAGATCAATACACGTAAGGTGTCGCTATCTGACGGCCGGTTTGGAAAACGCCCCTACTTGCCGTGTAGAACCTCCCTTTGCCAAGTTTTAAATATAACTCCAAAGCTCACCCCTCCAGTTCCGTATTCCACTATATTCTCACACTCTTTTAGCTATCCAAAACTCACTTTAAGTAAATAATATTATAAACAATAGTTGTATCTATTTTATATTATTTTTAAATTATTAAATTACCATCGGTGTCTGTGTGTTGTTCACTTAGAACAGGGAGGGCGGTCGAGAACTAGGCAGCCAGAAAAACGAACGACCCCTCAGAAAGATAGAAGATGTTGCCGCTCTGGTACCTATACTTCGGCTATAAAGAATATTTGTGAGTATATATATAATTTTATATATTTATACATAAATATATATGTATGCATGTATATAATAGCCTCTTATCATATCCTACTCTTCTCTACTCCCACCTGCGCCTCTAAACTATTTTTGAAGATGGGGTGGAGAAGTGGGAAAACTATGTCGTGGTGTAGTGGAGGGGGAATATTTGTGATAATGTGCAAAAAAAAAACTAAAGTAAACATGCCCGTTTCCGATGAACTATCAATGCGCGAGAAACGTACGTTAATTTTAAAAATGAAATTATAAATATTTATATATATATTTAATTTAAAAAAATATAACCATATTGAACTAAAGGCGTAACTCGAATGAATATTGCTTTGATGTGAAACTAATAGAATCAGCTGATTCTATCTTTGTTGTTCTACCGAGTTTGCGCAATAGGCTTCACTTCTAATAATAGTGATGAAAACTTATAATTCTCTTATTAATATCTATTCATTTCATCAATTTAAAGTTTACTGTAATAAAAAAATTAAATTATTAATTACACTTATTTATCATATTTGCTGAAAACTTGAATAAATTGTTTATGAATTGAAAAAAAAAAGTTTATAGTCTGGTCCATAACGAATCGAATTTTTTATACAATCATTAGCGTTGAAATTGATTTTACTGCAATCGATTTCGTAAAGTAGAAACTATAAAGACTTTAGTAACATCGGTTCAAATTATTAATTTAGCTATTTTTAGCTGTGGAATCATAATCATAATTTATTTATGCTGCTTTTTCACTCTGATAATTCATTTATTTATTGATATAGTTTTTGCAGTTCATTCAAACGATTTAAAGATATATTTTCCAATCGAATTCTTAATAAAGTTTCTTTTTAATAAAAAAAAAACATTTTTTAAAAACATAATTAACTTTAAAACTGGACGATTGTCATTTAATAAAATATCTGCATTTTTTAAAAAAATACAATGCTAAATTTTATGAAAGGTTTGATTTCAGTATAAATGGCTTTCAACGTTTATATGTTTGGTGTAATAATGCTAATTAGTAAATTAATGCGAGCTTTTGTAGACAATTGTATGAGCAATTTATGTTTTTTTAGAAGAGATAAAAAATATTCCATGTTTATATGTCATTTATAATATATTTAATGTTGTAGTTTGATTTCTAATTATATTTATATTAAAAAAATAAAATGAGGTAATGCTTCAAATTATATGAATTGGGTTAAATTTTTCGATATTCACTTTTAAAATGTAAACGATTTTTTTTCTATTTATTATAATATTTTTTTGTAAACAAATATAAATGATTGAATTTTATAGAAGTATTACGAAATTCAGATTAATTTTTTTATAAAATACCTATTCGTTATGTACAAAATGCCTTGGAATGGAAATTCATTTCACGGCCTACAAAATCTGTTATCTGTCAACGGGTGTCAGAACTCGACTACAGATAGCGTTGAGATTTGTTCGTATTAAAACCTCACTGGATGGAAAGACAAAAATTTTAGTTCTAAATTACTTTAAATTTTTTGTACAATATGCATGATTGTTTAAATTGTTAAACTTTGTTTGGAATGTTTAAAATATATTGGCACATCTTTTTGTTTAATTCACTTATTGATGTTTTAAAAAATAATTTCATCTAGATGCATGTAGTCAGGGTAGCTATTGATGGTTATTTAATTATAATAATTACTTTCATTCATCAAATAATAATTAATTAATCAATGAAATCAACTGTTCAGGTTTCAATTCCTGATGATTTTTTTCTAAAAGGATTACTTCCGTTTAATTAAGTATCTAGTCAGCCTGCAGAGATGGAATATGAAACCATTTTTTAATTTTCAATTGTTTAATTGAATGTATGTATTTAGTGCAAAAAAACTATTTTTTTTTTTGCTATTGTCAGTCATGACAAAAGGCTTTGGTTTAATTTTTTGTTAGGCTCGAATATATTAGACTTTGGCTGTATATTTAAGTTTGCCATCACTACTCCATTTTTCCACTTTATGCTTGTTTTTCCATTCCTGGTTTCGGTCAAAAATTTGTGGTCGTAATTTAGTTACCCTTGGTCAATGATGAATTATTAATTATATATTATATTCCGAAATATTTATTTATTTTTTTTATCTGGAGAAAATCATTTTATTGGTATTACAAAATTCATGAATGCTAATATTATCTCAAAGATTTGGATATTTCTAATAAGCTATTTATTTACTTCGATCAAATATATCAGCTCCTTTATTATTTTTACTTTTACTCGCCTATATATGTTATATATATTAAGGGAAAGTATTGCGATCGTGAAAATTTTCGAATCTGAGTTTTCAACGGAAATACACGTTTTGAGGTCCCTTGAGTCCAAGTAACCCGAAAAATGTTTTGTGAATAGTCTAAAAGAACTCTCTTTTATTGACAGTAATAAAAAAATGGCTAAATATGAAGTTTGAAAGAATATGATAATTGGAAACCGGAGAAAAAAAATAAAAATGCTGATTCAGGTTGAAAATAAATCCCAAGAAATAACAGTCAGAAGATATACGTTTAATATATCGTTAGAAAGCAGAGAATTTCAGAAAAAAATAATATCAGATGAATAAAGTTGTAGAAGGTAACGGTGAGCGTCGAAAAAAATATAAATAATAATTTCAGAAACTCTGGAATCAACTTGATCACTGTATTTTTTATTGCCTACCGTCGATATAATAAATAGACTTGTTGTAATTGTAATTGTCTTAATGATTTGTTATCTGTAAACTTTAAGCTTCATCTCCGTTTAAAATGGACTTTATTGACAACATTGACAGAAAATAATTTCTATTTAAAGTAGAGCGGTGAGTGAATGTTGTGTGTTGCGCGCACCAGATTTTTTAAATTACTCTCAGCGCTTTAGATTTCTTGATTGAACGATATGTCCGTAGCAAAATGGCGCGTTTATCCAATATTATATATCGTTGTAACATTACCCGTTTTTATAGCTCTTTGCCTTGATATAATATTTGTATTTTAATACTAAGGATACCTATTACGTTTTATATCTCAGTGGTTGCATATAGACTGGATGAGTAAGGTCGTATATTGTTGACATAATGTCGTAATATCAACATGACAATATCAAATAGCCGCTCCTTTTCCTTCCAATTTGGATCAGCTTCATTGATTCTATATTCACCATCATGATCCAAACTGACATATCTTATATATACATATATATATATATATATATATATATATATATATATATATATATATATATATATATATATATATATAATGAAGAGAAGAATAGTCGGGATGGTCAGTCAAAAAAGAAGGCAAAAATAAATGATAATATTTATTTTTACATATGCCGACGTTTCGACCTGAAGTTCAGGCCTTCATCAGGGCTAAGAAAATAACCAGATAACAAGGTATGAGAAACATAAGTAGTGAGGGTAAAAAAAAAAATATATATATATATATATATAAAATTATAAAAAAAAAAAAATAAATAAATATAAAGTAAAATGATATTGTTAGAATAATGACAATAGTAAGAACTAAGAGATAAATAATAATAACCGTTACAAAGTGTGGAATGATGAAGTAGGCATAATCAAAAAGGGTGACATAAGTGTTAAAATGGGAATCTTAGAATAAAATGTAAAACATAAAAAAGAAATATGAAGTTATATAAGAAATGAAAATAAATAGTAAAATTAAGACATTAATTAAATAAATAAATATAAATATAAATAAATAAATAAATAATATCATTTATTTTTGCCTTCTTTTTTGACTGACCACCCCAACTATTCTTCTCTTCATTATCCATTCGACAGTCAACCATTTACCAAGTGTATATATATATATATATATATTTACAACTTTTCCTTAATCGACCTTTGAGTATTTTAAATTTAAACTTAACTATTTAATTGGGAATAAGGTCACTTAATTATTATTTAATAAACTATTGAATGTTCATTTCTTCTGTTTATTGACGTTTCGATCCCGGTATTTTCTTTTTATTAGTCAACGATGGGATCCTCTTCAAAGCTAGAATTTTAAAAAATAGAGCTTCGATCAGGCCAGGAACACACCGACAGTCTCAGCACCGTCCACTAGCACATATATTAAGCTACTCTCTCTCTCTCTCTCTCTCTCTATATATATATATATATATATATATATATATATATATATATATATAAAATATATTTTCATTTCATTACAAATAAATATAAAACCCCACTAACTGAACCTTAGTTTCTTCAGAAAAAAAGTATATATATATATATATATATATATAAACTTCTTTAAGCGCGTTTTGCCCCCCCCCCCTTTATTTTTTTGAAGATGGAATTAGAGCCGTCAGATCTTTGATGTGTAACGATCGGGTAAAATCGGTTGGAGCCGACTAATTGAAGTGTTTTTGCATATGGATTGAAATATCTCAAAAACTAAAAATCTCACCAGCATATTGTTTGCGAAATGTTCATTGTTTCATCCTCTTTGCAATGAGCTATTATTCAAAATTTGACTTTAATGGTTAAAAGGAAAAATTTAATGTCGAAAACCAAATGATAACGAGTTTTATTGAAGATATGGATGAAAACATATCAGAAACTAAAAATCAGACCTGCATACTGTAAGCGAGGGTAATGTTCAACATTTCATCCGCTTTTTAATGGCTACTATTTATAATTTATATTTCATAGTGTCGTAAACCCCTATGGTTTCCTGTCCTACAGTATCCTTTAATAATACGCCACTTATCCCTGTTGAACAAATCCGATAACTAGCACTCCCCACCTTGACAAACGTCTAACTTGGAATCCTCATACCAGACTGAAACGATAAGAAACCGCTCGACGTTTCCGACTAATTCAGCACTTACTAGACAAACGCTCTAAGCTTGCAATTAATTACAAAAGACTCATATACATGTTCATAATAAGACATATTTGTACTTACGGAGTTGAGCTAAGGGGCTCTAATAAACCATCGAATTCCTCTCGTATC